CTGATTAAGAGGAACCGGCGGCTTGCATCTTATTCAAGATAACTTCCAAGCGTGAAGGTGGAGATTGTCGAGGCGGCCGTAAAATATGTCCGTTTTCGGTTGTCTCAGTAAATCGTGACGTACCAGGAGTTTCAGAGGTTCTTCCGCTTGGAAGGGTAGTAACCTTGGAAACCAAGCCCTGTTTGGCCATGCCAGGGCTATGAGAATTATGATGCAGTCTGTCTCGTCTATTTTCTGTCTAGAAGAGCCCATGGGGGAAATGCGTAAGCGAACATTCCCTCCCAGTCCATACAAAGAGCGTCGACCTGGAAAGCTAATGGGTCTGGTACCGGACTGAGGTAGACTGGTAGTTTTTGGTTGAGACATGTGGCAAATAGATCTATGTTTGGAGTATCCCATAGGTAGGTTATCCACTTGAATATTTCGGGATGTACTGACCATTCCGTGGGTACGATCTTGTTTTTCCGGGATAGGTAATCTGCTAGGATATTCAACTTGCCCAGTATATGTCTTGCTTCGATCCTGCAACTCACTGAGTCTACCAAGGCAAATAAACATGTAGCCTCCTTTAATAAAGGCTGAGACTTTGTGCCCCCCTGGTGTTGTATGTAAGCAGCCACAGTCGAGTTGTCTGTAGCAATCTTTACTGACGAGTGGTGCAGTGCAGGTGATCTTGCCATGCTTCTAGAGCTAGATATATCGCTCTCATTTCTAGGCAGTTGATGTGTAACTCCCATTGTCCCTGTATTGTAATATCGTCCATATGGGCACCCTAACCCTCTCCTGACGCATCTGTGTAGAGTTGATGGGGGGGAAGGGGGAGGGAGATATATGAGAGTGGAATACCGGGCATGACATTTTGACGAGTCAGCCACCAATGTAGTTCTGAGATTCGAACTGGTGGGGGTTGAATTAATGCTTCCAGCTCTAGGTCTTTGGTGGTATTCATCCAATATTGCAGGGGACATAACTGTAGTCTGCCTCTGTAGGTTAGATCTTTGATGGAGGTGAGTGTGCTGAGGCAAGACATCCACCAGCATCTTGATTTGATGGGCTGGTTGAGTGCGCTTGATATCATGTCTTCTACCCTTGAATATCTGTCCTCTGGAGGGGCTACTAGGCCCTTGTTGAGTAGAAACCTTGCACCTACATGTATGTAAGTGATGTCCATCGTGGGTACTAGTTCTGATTTTTGAGGGAGAACCAGGAAACCTAAGTGCATTAGTAGTTGAATAAGGCACACTGTATTTAATCTGATTTGCGACTTGTCCTGATCAGCCGATAGGAAGTCGTCTATATATCCGTGTAGCCTTATGAGCTTTAGATGGGCGAATCCTATGATGGGATTGGTGATCTTAGTGAAAAACCATGGGGCGATGGATATGCCGAATGGAAGTACCCTGAACTGGTATCTCTGATCGTTGTCTGCGAAGCGCATATGACGATGATGACTTGGATGGATGGGGATGTGAAGAGAGGCGTCTTGGAGATCTATGCTTATGAACCTATCTGCTTGTCTTAAGGCATACTTCAACTTCTTGATAGATTCCATCTTGAAGTTGGGAGGTTTTTCCAGATAATCTTTGATCAGAACTTTTAGATCTATGATTAATCGCATCTCTGAAGAATTCTTCTTTGGTACCAGGAATACTGGGGAGTAGAAACGGGGAGTAGAAGCTGTGAGTGGTGTCTGATTCTTTTAAGGCGCTGATGGCTCTCTTTGCAAGTAATTTGTGTATGGCCACATTTGCTGCAATTAACTTTTGTCCTGACAGATGGAATTAGGGTCCTGTAGGATGGATAACTAGTCTTGGTCGTTTTAAGAAATGAAGTTTGTAACCTTTTCTTACTACTTTGAGCAGCCATGAGTCGTCTGTGATGGCTTCCTAGTTGTCTGCGTACTGCATAAGACGACCTCCGACTGGTCCCGGAACAGGGGAAGTGCTGAACTTGGGTAGTCTTGGGTCCATATCTATGAGACAGGCTAGTTCCACGGATTCAATGTGGTTGTAGGGTTTGATATTCTGAAGTTCTAATCATTGTCCAATGAACAGGCAATGTCGGCAGAGTCTGAAGGAATCTGTAGAGCTCTGCTTAAGTCATTTTCGGCGGTATATCCCTCGGAAGCCTCCTCTGCCTCTACCTCTTCCTCTTTGTGAAGTAGGATGATCATCTTTGGAGTTCTAATTCTTGGGGTGAAACGATCTGTCCTTCCATGTAGGGGCTCGAAAAGAATCCCGGCCAGATGTCACATGACGAGATTTAGGATTCTGTTCTTGATGCTGGAAATAAATGCCGTTTCTGGATCTTTATGCCAATGAGATTGTGGATTCTTAAAACTTCTGACTAGTCAATGATGCAATAGCTTCTTTCACTGCCATTGAATATCTGTGGAGCTGTAATAGGTTGTAATAGGTTGTGATAGCATGGATCTTCTTAGCGGATCTGGAATCATATGATGAACTTGTCGCGGCAGATGATTTCTTTGCATGAGCAGGAACTGTGCTGACATCCAAACTTGTGCTGATTGAAGATCTTCCTGTATCTTCAGCATATGGTCCAGTGAGCTGTGAATAAACCAGGCCTGCTGTACTGTCATCTCCATGGGGGTATCTAATGGCAGGTCTTCGCTGTGATTGGTCGGAGGGATGACGTGACGAATTCCAGCAGCAACCCAGTTAATATATGAACTGATGTTAATCATCTGTTTATTGATGTTGTCAAGGTCCCTGATTTTGGCCATGTCAACATGCATCCTGGTGTTAGGTTTCTTAACAAGATCATAAAAATCTTCATCAATACTAGGCTGTTGTGCGAAGGGAGCATTGTGTGTCTTGTAATCACTTTTATTAATAGCAGGCATACCAAGTCTGATATGCACCGATGAAGCATTCAAGGATGCTTCAATTTTCTGGATGACGTCATCAATGTATGACTGACAGGGAAGGGTATGAAATTCTTCAGCTTTGCTGACAAGTTCTTCATACCCAGCACGTTCTAACAAGGGTATCTGGTTTTAAGGCCGGCATCAGATTATAAAGTTCTGATATGATGTCTTTAATGGAATAATTATTTGGTTTGTAGTGAGTGAGTTTGATTTTACGCCGCTTTTAGCAATATTCCAGCAATTTCATGGCGGGGGGGACACCAGAAATGGGCTTCACACATTGTACCCATGTCGGGAATCGAACCCGGGTTTTCAGTGTGACGAGCAAACGCTTTAACCACCAGGCTACCTGACTGCACATTTGGTTTGTAATTATCCCCTGTAGTAGAGTCCCAATTACATGAAGAACCAGTGTTAGCGATGGAACTGCAACCCCTGCCCAGGCTGCGCTGGGGGTAGGAAATATGGCTTAGGGTAGAATATTCCTGGTCATCTGATCTATGGCGAGCGGAGTGGGAATCACGTGTTCTACAACTGTGTGATTTGACGTAACATCCACTTCGCTTTCCCCGTCCGTTTAACTGGACTGTGTAACGGTATGGGGTGGAGCACGCTTGGGAAATCTATCCTGATTTGCACGAGTTTTGTTGTCAGTTCGTCTATCATAGTGGCTAGATTGGGACTGGTGTGTATTTCTGTGCTCACTGTGATACGATGTCCGTGATCCTGATCTACCTTATGATATGCATGGTAGCGAGGGGAGCTATGAGATTCTCTATGTCTTTTTATGACTCTCCTACTGCCCTCATAATAAGTTGATTCAGCTTGACTGCGTGAGTGCCTAGTGTGTGAGGATGCCCAGTCATAATCAGCCTTAGATTTCTTTTGAATCGCGTGTTGTGGGAGGGATTCTTTTAGATGCGAGATTTCACGAGAAATTGATTGCATGCGTTTGTCAATCATTACTGACATGAAATTGGTTATTTGAACTCATTTAAGTTAAAGGAGAAACGTTGCATAGAGGGGAGATCGGTTGCTTCTTCCAAGCCTAGATTATTCGCCTTACCAGACGCTTCCAGATGTGTTCTTTTTATAGTAAGGGTCATTGAGCCATGCCTTAGAAAGTTTTTCAAACTTCTCCTTGGACAAAGGTTCGCATTAACTGCACCTTGATTTTTGTGTGCACATGCTTTTCTTGCACGATAGGCACCTAAGATGAGGGTCACCAGAGATTTGATGTTGCCCACAACCTGAACAGACGGGCGCCTGCTTTTTGGATGAAGTCCTCATCCCACAACACATTCTCTAACTAATTACATACGAGAGCCTTCTGCCTTCTTATACTGCTCACTGCTGGTCTTTAGTGAAGCTTGTGATGATCTAGTGTGACTTGTAAGTGTGGAACAGCAATCACATGTGCAGATGTATCAAACAAACAAAATTCCTTATTGTCATCTGGACACACAGGAAAGAAGCGAGATGATTCTCGCCTTGTGCATGTGCAGGGGCGTCTCTTGCAAGGGATAGTGTTTCCCTAACAACTATTAGATATGTTGGCAGTGAAGAAGACATCTGTTGAAAATTTATTAAAATTTGTATTGTGGTTCTCAGCATAAACATGTATTTATGGCTATGATGTAATAGAGATAAGGTATTCACGAGAATGATTACATTTACATTGACATTTTGACAGAGTTTGTGATCTCTTGTTCACTCTAGCCAAGGCTTCACATGAAGTAAAATCATATAGAACACATGAGAACACTTTCCCCCAAACCTGTCCTCCAAGAATAGGGTTGCACAGTCACCCACCCTGACCACCAGATCAGTTGTAATAAGAGTGTTGGGGACCCACGGTGTAAGTATGAAAGATGTTCACTGATACAATTGGAAGATTATATCATCATCTAGGTTGTCACTGGGCCAAGCTGCAAGGCAAAGTGATTCTAAATTGTGTCCTGCAGTCACGGCCAGTCATGTTAAAGGTGACTCTTAAATGAATTAATGTCCACAGGGAATCATGTCTGTCGAGGTCTCCATAAATATTACAAAATACAAGAAAAAATGACAGGACAGGATTATGACATACACATAACGCCTATCACATACATACCTGATTTCACTTGTAGGGGTCCATTCTTTTCATTTGAACCTATCTCTTTCGCCTTAGCATATGTGGCAAGAATCCTTTGGTCATTAATAGTTTTACCACTTTTAAATTTGACGAGATTCTTCTGTGCAACCTGTTCATTGTCAAATGACACAAAACCATACCTGAAATATGACAGAAATATCACGATCAGTAATTGAAAAGGAAATAAGAAATATGACTGATATTAGTTATGTATTTTAGGGGTATGTGTTTCATCTTATATGAACATATAATATTCTCAGACATTGTAATCCTTGAGGGATCCTCTTAACCTTTAGCCTGCTGAATTATTTTCACACTTCTTACCCCTGCCTGCTGGATTAATTTTAGCATAAGGCGCTCTAAAGAGGGTTGGTGATTTCAAACAGTCGGTGCCTCATTAAACAAGGGCCAATTGAAGAAATATTTTGCACATTTATTCCTGATAGAAAACTACACAGTACTATATAAAAATATCCCGATGTTTTCAATCATACCAAGGTTAAGACCAAAGCAAACACAAAATTTGTAAATTTTCTTGAACTTACCTGAATTGCGTTATTGAAGGTGGTTTGCATTTCATGCTAGGAACCTTTTAATATCGTAACATTTGTGCAAATTCATTTCAATAATCATATCTCCGATATCTTAATTTTAATTGAGTAAAGATTCGGGGTTTTTTTATCAGCAAATAACAGCGCGATGGTAAATTAGGAACCATTTCAGGGAATTTATTATCTAAACGTTAAACAGAAAAATAACTTAATTTTCGAGGTCATCATGTCGGTTGCAGAAATATGAATATTCGGGTTAATCTGACGTGTCATGTTATAAAATTTGCAGGAAACAATTAATGACTTATAAATATTCACTAATCCTAGTTTCGGCAACAATGCAGTTTACCGGGCGCAGCCCGAGCTCTACCATCCGCTCAATTACCGCGCTATAGTGCCACCGCTGTCTCATTATACCGTTACCGTGCCTCACGCTCTGGTGACTCTCGCTTCACGATCCAACACCCGTTTTCGGTCTTAGGGAAACTTACACATCTTTACAATCAAACACCCGTTCTCGGTCTTAGGGAAACTTACACAACTTTACGATCCAACACCCGTTTTTTGGTCTTAGGGAAACTTACACGTCTTTACGATCCAACACCCGTTTTCGGTCTTAGGGAAACTTACACGTCTTTACGATCCAAAACCCCTTTTCGGTCATTAGGGTCAGCTGGCTTTGGGCAAGGGTTAGCCATAAATTCTTACCTTTTCAAGCGTTAATCCCATTGGTCGGTCATGTTGACATAAACAATTGCGGGTGTGGTTTCAAGAAAAGATGAATGGGAGTGCGGGCAGTGACGTCACACACATGCGCAATTCATTGTTTACTGAATTACGCATGCATGTCAATGGGGATTCTAATGACCTGTTAAACGAGCACTAATTACACGTGATAGCGCCTGTGGTCCAGTGGTAGAGCGTCGGCTAATTAACTCATTAATTAGCAGAGCCGGTGAGCCGGCGAAGCGCGTTCGAGCCCCCACAGCGCTAATTGGATCTGAAAAAGTGCGCCCGGTAAAGTGCACTACTCCTGCCTTTATAAATAGCCTATAACTTGGCGAAAGTTGACGATCTTCTCAATCGAAGAATGTTTTATTCGTCATATTCCAATAAATATGACGAGAGAAAAGTGAAAATAAAGATCGTGAATTCTGACAGCACTATTTCAATAAGTGCATAGGTCACCGGATGTGATGTCACAGACAGGGGTAGTCTGCTCATAAGCTTTCGAAACAAAACAATTACAGTAAATTTTGAAATAGTTCGCCTATCACATACAGCAAAAACATAAGTCGATACACAGTATCAGTAATCGCCACTAACATGAAATAAAAATGTGACTTTGACGATATAAATCGCGTATTAGTTAATCCGTTTGACCTTGCATGCTCCCGTGACCCGGAAACGGTAGACGATAAATCAACATGCCACATGCAAGTTTCTCGGTATCTTTTATTTGAACTTCTGTTGATATTTAAGATTCACCATTCAATGTTGTGAATATAAATGGGACATGATTCATATTTCTGCGATGTACACGCTGATAAGTTTCACTACAACAAGTGTATCCCACGTAATACGTCTATGGATATCGTCGATCAGCAAGATCACCCTCTTCAACAGGTGCGCAAAATGGGCTTGACAAAACGTGTTTCAAAATAACATCCCCGCGTTGCTGAATATGATAGGGTATATATAAGCAATAAAATGCTACGTACATATTTTCGGTGTTAGTTCCACGTTACATTTAGGATAGTTTTCCTTTCGGGAATACATTCATAGATTCTAGCATGATTTTAGAACAGTTACACGAAGGATTTCTAAATTTATTCCAAAAATATGAAGACCGCCATGATGGCGTATTGATGATAGATTTGTAATTGTTTAATTATTTACAGCTGTTTACAGGTTTTAAAATTTTAAGTTATATTTAATAGTTATTTTTCCCACAATGATGGTGTGTGGGGACAGTAAATATTAGTCTTTGCATCAGTACAGTGTAACTGATCAAACTTCAATTATTATCTTTAGTTTAAACATATTTATTCAACAATTATTATCTTGCACTCTGAAAATCAACTATGTGAATAAGTAACTCTCTGATGTCATCATTTTAATTTTAGTATTCCATGAATAATGAATAAATCAGATCCTTAACATATACATACTAAACTCATATGGACATTAATCTTGTGCATTATGTGGTTTGTTTCCAAATAAAACAATTCTGAAATAAAATTTAATAGGAATTAATTTAATTTAATTACAGTAACAGTACTTGTAACAGTACATGACATTTTTGTTTGTTTAATCACAAGAACCATGGTGGCACATGAGCTGGTAAGTTTGCCATAGGTTTCTTAGAAAATGCTATCTCAGTCTTCTGGTTGGAATGAAAAGAAACATGCCTGTGTACATGTTTACCCTTGCCAGATGTATTTTTTCCAGTCAGCCAATCCATTACTTTTGTTCACCTTATGTGGTCTATTTTATACATACAGGTACTGCTTCAAACCTGTTTTTTCTTTGTATGCAATCACAGTATCACAACTTCCTCAGCTGGTGTGTATAAAAGTTCCCCTGTCATCATGAAAAAAGAATTATAAAGGAAAGTCATATTTTCATTCAAAAACATATCTGTCTTTCCTTGAATACTCTTTGTCTAAGTGCCAGAAATGTCAGTGTCATAAAAAAATTAAAAATAGATTTTCATAAGGACTTTTCTTAGGTAGACCTAGATCTAAGTCAAACCATGTGACTAGTTAGGTAGAATTATAACCTTAGAAGCCCTCATTTCTGAGGTGTCCATATTTTACACATTTTTAGGACTAAACGTGATCCGTGTAGATCTGCCTGTTTTGTTATGTAAAACAAATTCTTGTCTTAAAAAATGAGAAAAGGAATCATTCAGACGAATTTTTTTTATCCCATTGATTCACGAAAATCAGTTGAAATGTACAGTGGTGACTTTTATACCCAAAATTTCTAGTAATTTGTTACCCAAATGGGTATGTGATTTTGTAGATCTACCTAGAATTATTTCAAAGATATACATTAATTTGGTGTCTTAAACTTAACATATCACTTTCCTATCAAAACAAATCATTCTAACTTAGGTTTAACCAACTTAACTGGCCTCTCCTTCAGTGACAAGACGTCAATTTTCTCTCAAAACTAAACAATCAATTTCAAGGATCACAGTCATAATCATATTTGGAACTTGATGAAATATTTTATTGTGTGTTCTGTTCATCTACATGAAAACATAAATATAATTATAGATCTATTTTCTTAGGTACAAATTCACAAAGTATTTTGGGTACTATTTAATTTGTTTTGGGTACAAAATCACATATATAGGAGCCTAGAATCTATATATATATTTACACTAGCCTACCTCGTTGTGTGCCAAAATTTTATCGGTTCAGAGGACGGGAGGTTCTCAGAAAGTTTTCAACAACATCTTTAATAAAATTGTTCTTTTTGTAATGTTAGACCTATAACAATATTATGTTATTATTATGGCATATCAATACGTTGTATCGCTCTCCGTTGCGTTCGTTTTTAGAAAATATTTTAAAATTAAAATCATCGAGCGTGAAAATCCATTACGGTTTCGGATTTAGACTTACACATTTGATGGCGACAATCACGAAGAAATATGAAACAAATAGAGTAAAGACTGCTCTCCAGATCAATAAATAGTAAAGAGTTGACGAAAAATAGTAAATTTTGTATTTTCTTTTGAATTTGAATCTATTTCGGAATTTCTTTATGATAGCTTACCAACTTTTGCATATTTTGCTTCCATGTGTCACATGCAGTACGTGCTTCCGGTTTCAGAAATGATAGCTAAAATTGCAAGTATTTTGATTATTTCTCGTAAAATGCATTATTTTGCTATTGAATGGTTTACCTAGAATGTATATCAGTTCAGATTTTGTATCATCCAATATTTGTCATTTTTCGCAGTGTTTGTTGACTTTGTTCAACTCAACAAATCGCGAGTTAAGCCACGCCCAAACGTATCACTGACGTTTGTCAGCACTCTCCTACCCAGAGTTCCATGCGGCCGGCAGCCAGCTAGCATAGTACCTCTGCCACGGGCCAGCGCCATCTGACGATTAGTCACATCTTTCACAGTCCATTCAAGATATTGCATATGCTTTTCATCCGTTTCATGTTTGACAAGTCTACACATTTTCATAAACAAATGTCAACGGAGAGCTAGCGACACGGTCACTTTGATGCATAAATATATATTGTCATGCAACTCACTGTCGCTGTTGTAGTAGCATATCTATATAGTTATGCAAAACAATTTGTAAAGCGCCCCCAAATACTTGCATTAGTCCGTTCTATACTGATTTCTGAAAATGCGCGTTTGTTTACAAACAAGAGAAAAGTCCGGTCACGTGATATGCAAATTAGCCTGTGGCAGTGGCGTTATGCTGAGTCACCACTGCCACGGAGTGTGGTTTGTCAGCTGTTTGTCGGCTTGTCAATGTGTCGGAAAGTTTATCAAACGAAATCATTTCCAAACTCTTTAAAAATGAAATTCTTTTTACAAAGATTTATACATACGT